TCCTTCACACGGACGAAAGAGGGAGTGCTCAAAGAGCGGCTCCCACAGCAAGGAGGGGCCCCGTGAATCATCGCGGTGCCCCCTATCAAACGGTTATCTTACCAGTCTGCGTGACACTAAATCATCCAGCACATGTATCCAACAGCAATGTTCGCAGACTCACGAACAAGAGCTCCCACGAAGAAACAATGCGAGGACATCCTGAAACAGCACGTTCTACCGAGCAAGCTTCGCGCCTATATCCAGATCATTGACGATTGGAAGAGGCATGAGTGGGCTCACTCTGGTGGGCCCCCCGACACCGCACTCCAAGAATTTGTCACGAACAACCTTTCGGAGCAAACCAATTCGGCGGTTGGTGTCAAGGTAAGGCTACTCGTCGCACGAGGTACTTCTTAGTCTACTTCTTATGTGGCTGCCGGGATCGGTGTTGTAAATACGAAAGTGCCTATATGCCAGGACGATGTTCGTTCCGTTTGTTTTGCACCATGTATCATCGGTAGCAGTACNTCGTTGCACGAGGTACTTCGTATGTGGCTGCCAGGATCGGTGTTGTAAATACGAAAGTATCAATATGCGAGGATGATGTTCGTTCCGTTTGTTGTGCACCATGTATGATCGGTGGCAGTATTGGTAGGACAACGAGCCGCGAAGACTCGAACACGTTACTGTAGATTCCATGTCAGGGACACCCACCCACTCGTTGGAAGGTAAGAGCACCCTGCGTAGCAGTGAAGAAACCGATAGCAGTTGTTTTTTTCAGGAAAGGACCTAAATACAAGGCTTTTTCGCTGACGTGAATGGACACGAATGTACACGTGCGCCTCTCACGACCCCTCCACCGCACCCCCCCCGCTCCCGCGCATTATTGCTCGAGTTGTGGGTGCACCCCTACCCTGTTTTGGTGATNGCCTCCCACGACCCCTCCACCGCACCCCCCGCGCTCCCGCGCATTATTGCTCGAGTTGTGGGTGCACCCCTACCCTGTTTTGGTGATTCTCTTGTACCAATGCGACGCCCCGTGTCGACCACAGCAAGTAAGCGAGCATGGTTGGTTTCGTTCCAAACGTAGCTTGATCATGTTGCAACTTATTTAGCGATGATTTCTCACAGGCTAGGAAGCTACCGCCATTGGAGCTGTNTGCCGCGACGTTCGAACATCAGAGGAAGAAGTCCGCCGGGTAAGTGACAAAAGTGGAGAATGAACGGCCGCGTTTGGGTTTTTCTGCGTAATCTACATGGGTACGACTTCTTGTGGTTTCGAAGAGACAACCTAGTTCCTGGAGGACTCTCCTGTACTTGCACGGACGGGTGGTGGGTTGCCAACGGGTGGGTGTTCCATGACATGTTTCGAGGTGCACGCACGCCGCCGAGATTCACATGTACTCACATGCACGCCTTTGCCACGCGACGTTCATTATTCCAGGCTCGCCGCCTCCCCCTCGGGCAACCAGTTCTACACGGTCGAGAACACCAACCTCGCCACCCTCAACACCCGCGGCAACAGGGTCCTGCTGAGGTGGGGCGAGCCGGGGCAGAAGACGAAGTGGTCCTGCACATGCGGGTTCCCCGCGAGATTCCAGATCCCTTGCTGCGACGTCATTGCCGTGGCTAGAGGTAAGCGATGTACATAGTGGGCACAGCAGTAGTCTTGTGACAAAAAAAACGATGAACGTGAACCTCGTGTTGCCAGGAGCCCTCCAGCAGCACTCTGTGTGTATTGTCGCGGAATCGATCGGATCACTTGCGTGCTTATTTGCGTGTTCACACGGCAAACCTGTTTTTGCGCTGCATGCTCTGTCTCTGTCCTCTTGTAATTGTGACGGGTCTTTTGTTTTCTGTGTGTCTGTTCATTTTATTTAGTTGTTTCCTGCGTTTTTTTTTTTTTTTCTCTTTTATCCTGTCTTCCCCGGATAGTGTATTTTCTCCTTGTGGAGTACCAAGATTGAACCAGGGGATGAACTACAATATCTGGCCTCTGATTATACCTTTTTTTAGGCAGCGTAGCCTGTGACCACGGGAATCGCTCGGTCAAGTGTTTGATGACACAAGAAATAAGCGGTCTACGTTCGCGCACTTCCAGTTGAACGAACTAGGACCCTTTCTCGAAAGTGATTCACACACCCGCACCCGCAACGGCAGCTTCGAGGTCGTGGTTACATGCGGTGCTTCGACCACAATACGTGAAAGCCAAAGTCTAACCGATGCCAATATGTCTAATGTATTCCTTCTGGTGCTCCATGATTGGACAACAGGTGGCACGATACTTTGCTTTCGGCCAGTCCGCCGTCGCGCGTCAGTATCCCTTTCGGCCGCGGTCGGCAGAAACTAACCACGCTTTATCACTGCTGTCATTTCCCTCTTCTGTCGTTGTACATGTTGCCCCCTCCTTCAATACACGCAGAGGAGGACAACATGGACGCTGTCATGACCTTCATGAACCCGGCCTATCGCCTCCAATACCACCGCCAGACCTACGGCGATGACGCGTACCAGGTCATGCCGCCTGTGCCGTCCACGCTGGAGGAAGATGACACCCTGCTACCTCCTCTCCCCGTGGATGGTCAGGCCGGCGCTCCCACGCAACTCGAAACTCGGACCGAAAACGTTCAAGAGGATCGCGGGGCGCGGGGACGAGTATGCTTCGTCCTCGTTCAACACGCGAGTTTCTGAACTTGGCCCGGCTGCATCCGGAACCAAGGCGGCTCTCTCTCTGTCGCAGTGGGGTGCCACGGCGGCTCCCTCTCTGTCACAGGGGGGTGCCACGGCGGCTCCCTCTCTGTCGCAGGGGGGTGCCACGGCGGCTGCCTCTCTATCGCAGGGGGGTGCCACGGCGGCTTCCTCTTTGTCACAGGGGGGTGCCACGGCGGCCCCCTCTCTGTCGCAGGGGGGTGCCACAGCGACTCCCTCTTCGTCACAGGGGGGGCGTGCGGGCGGATCGGTCACGGTCGGGGGCATGGTGATCGACTTGACACGCTGAGTGCCGCCCGCCGAATGACGACGTGTGATGCCGTTTTTTCACGTGCCATGTACTACGCGATGTTTTATTTTCGTGCCGTGCGCTCCCCGGTGACGAATCGGGGATCGCGGGCCTTCACATTCATCTAGCCGACGACCAAATGGGTGATGGCGATGGTGAATAATGGTGGGCAGGGAGGTTTTTAGGATCTATGATACTTTCTTCTTTCTTGGGCTTTCGTGTTCCATGCGGTACGTTGGTTAAGTTCAATGCAAGGCGCGAGCGAGTGTGCTTACCCTTTCGCTTTGCATCATTGATTTGTAGCACACACCCTCTGCTGACTAGGAACTTCCGGGGTACACGTTGCTGCTACACAGGGGAAGTAAACGAGCGTGTCGTGTTCAGATGTAGAGGTCGGAACCCGTATTCTGGTGTGGCATTCGAGGTCCTTGCGAGGGAGGGGGCGAGGGGGGCGGGGCCACCACTTCCCTTGAAGAGATGAGAGTTTTCCCAAGATTATGCTTGGTTTATCCCGACTTTATTCCTCTCATAATGTAGCTAGCTGTCGATTCGCATTTTTCTGCGGAAACTGACGCGCAAGTGTTGAATCAAGACGAAGTAACTGCTGTGTTGCCACAACGCCAAATTCACGCCATGTACGATCGAATACCTAANATTATGCTTGGTTTATCCCGACTTTATTCCTCTCATAATGTAGCTAGCTGTCGATTCGCATTTTTCTGCGGAAACTGACGCGCAAGTGTTGAATCAAGACGAAGTAACTGCTGTGTTGCCACAACGCCAAATTCACGCCATGTACGATCGAATACCTAATGCTCAAAAGGTCATTCATGCATGATCGATACTTTTCTGAGGATTCCTGAGACCAACCTACTACGCAGCATGCAGCCTCTTCACTCCCGCGTAAAACACCTGTATGACTCTTATCTGTATTGTTAATTGAGCTATACCACCATTCTATCGTAAAGATAACATCTATNCAGCCTCTTCACTCCCGCGTAAAACACCTGTATGACTCTTATCTGTATTGTTAATTGAGCTACACCACAATTCTATCGTAAAGATAACATCTACCTCTACTCTACAGTGTTGGTGACGACGCGAGGCATTGAGCCTGGGACCGAGTCGACCGAATTGGACGTTGACGGTTGTTGGTGCACGCCACCGCCGTGCGGTCGATTAACACCCAAACATGCACGCACGGAAAGAGGCCGGAAATACACAGCACCTGGCACAGCCAAACAGGTATGCATAATGACCGTAGCTCCGTGCTCCTAGCTCCCTGGTAAAATCCCTTGCGGAGCAGGGGGGTCGCGGAACAGCGCAGAGGGTGTGTGTTTGTGTGTGTTTTTTTATTATTAGCATCGACCGCGCTAACCGGCTGACCAATGAAAAGACGTCAGTCTCAGTGCGGTTGAAAACACAAAACACTTCAATCTACCATGAACTGGGACCCCGTGAGGGGGCAGCATGGGGGAGGCTAAACTATCCTTCGGATCAGAAACAGAAACAGCAGCAACAGAAGAAAACTGCACCCGTCTACCAAGGCTATTACCTAGTACTCGAGGTTGTTTAGGACTACTTTCAGCGTTTGTGTGTGGTTGGGGAAAAGAGACAACACTGAATGGGTCGGCAATATGTGTGTATTATGTCTGTAGCTATCAACAGCGATCATGTCGCACCTTGGAGACACACTCTGCTATATCTTGCGAGGGTTACGTCCACACCACGAGCATTCCCATGAGGAAGGAGGATCCGATCGCCATTGGATCGCCATCTGCGGGTGTTGCGCCTCTTGTGTGCCCGTTGGCTATTTCACCAGTCTAATTTGACGTATTTATCGACTCGTGGGCCCGCGCCCCCCTCCAAGATAGAGGGGGTCGACTTCGCTCTATCCGCGAGTTAGCTCGCTGTGGTGCTCGTACATTGTTAGGATAGGACAGAGAGACAAAACGGGCACGACCCGCTTCATGCTTCCGAGGCACAGCAGCACAGCAGCAGCAGCAGCAGCAGCAGCAGCAGAACACGGCGGTTGGTTTCGCGGCAATCTACGGAGGAGGCTGTCGGAGATTGGTATCCTTGGAGGCAATGTGCCCGTCAACAAGCGTTGGTGGTTTGTGTGGCCACTGTGGGGTATGTGCGGTATATGGTGTGTCATGCGGTTTTGCGCGGCATACGCTTTTTGTTGCTGGTTTTAGAGTCGTCGGACGCCGGGATGATATGGCCATATCTGGGTACAAAATCGACCCTTTACGGGAACACCAGTAACCAATACCGGTTACACCAGAGGGTGCTATCTCCAGCGGAAGTTGTACCCGATGGAGATGTCTCCACTAATGGGTACAATGGTTTTTCGGCCAATCAGCTGACAGCCTGGGGGTGCAACCGTCTTGATTTCTGAGTGAACCCGAACGTGGCGACGAAGTACCCGGGTATACCCGTTTCTGGTTACTGGTCATCAATATATTAATGATTTCCAAACAGCATGAAGTGTCTAGCGGAGATGAGACAACTCCCGATCTACTTGCGTCGTGGGCTGTTGGGATACTATTTTTTGTCCTAGCCTGGGGCGAATTGTGTTGCAGTACAGTAGAAAAAGCTCCCATGTATGCCGGTTGTAGGATTGCTGAAACCGGCGAGAATTGGTTCTTACCATATGAGTAGCAGCATTTCGTGCCGAAACTCGACGAAACACGCCGTGAAAGCACCAGCAGCCAGTCGTTCTACACCACCATCGAGAGCTTCGAAGCAAGAATCGACTTAGGCCATAGACGGGTGTTGAGCCACGCAGATTACCGTACGGTTGCGAATCAGTGCATAGGGGTGAGATCGATTTTCGAAGCGTCATTTCTCCACAGCCAGGAGGGTGCGAGCGCCCACTGATTGTTCTCAGAAAAGCTCTAGACGAGATACTTCCAAACCCGCCCCTTTCGGCAGCGGTAACCTCCTGGTTGTGGATACATTTTACGCTTTGAAAATCGTTCGCACCTCTGTGCTCTACCTGACTCTCAACCTTACGCTGCCTTCATCACCAACAACTGTGCACATTCGTTCCCCGGCACTGACTGCTGCTGCTGCTACTGCTGCCGCTCAAGGATACATTTAGCAGGTGCGTCACGTCCAAGGCGGTTCCCGCCAACAACCCATCAAACCTTCCGTCGTCGACGACTCCCCGCCCAGAATACTACTACGCCATCAGCCCCAACCCGGCTAGCCGTCTGTCGAGCGCCTTCACGTTTTCGTTCACGATAGACACGTTTTCCGCGGAGCTCTTTCGGGTGTCCAGGAGCCCTTCGTTGGTGCACTTCAAGACCCCCTCTAGCTCGGTCTGTCCGGTTTCCACCTGCCGCGGGCAGAGGGCGGGGGCACAGCAGAGTGGGCTAGTATTGGGGGTGCTCCAGTCTTCCGCGCGAACAGTCGGGGCGACGTTTCGCTATGTTCCCCGAGTCAACATCCTTTGTCTCGTCTACATCAGATTGAGTAGGCCATGCAACGTTTGCCATCGTTGCTTTGGCCTCATTCTCAATAACAAAAACCGTCCTCGCACCGTCCCGTATCATGACGATGACACCACCTTAAGAGAACGAGAATCTCTCAAAGAGGGCCCGCATGGTTGCCTGAGGCTATCTGCGTTGCGAAATCGGCAATGCTCTTCCAGTCAACTTCGACTCTGCATAAAAAAAAAACCGCCACGGCATAGGCACAAGACTAAAGAGGGTCTCAAATGGCGCTTCTGGTTATGCGAGCACACGGGGTTTTGAGAAAACCAAAAGCAGCTGGGTGCGATTGGCATGGGTAGATCAGCGACATACAAACTTGCTTCACTTGGTACACAACCTCCCTCCAACGGTGAGATTCTGTGCTTCATAATAACCGCGCGGGGGAGCCAATGCTCAAAGACGGAAGAAATCGCAGGGGTGAACGAAACACACACTCGAAAGTTAGTTGGCGCAAGAGAGACAAGAGCCGCCTCGTTGACGCGCGCACGCTCGGCATGGTTTCTCCCGCGCTTTCCGCCCCTTGGAAGGCCAGCGGAAGACAATCCGGCGACTGCACGAGCAACGCGCTGGCTAGATTAATCAGAGCAGCTTCTCTTAAGTACCGTAAGGATGCGGGTCTCCGCACGGGGGTGCTAGCGTTTTTCAAAGCTTCACCACTCGACCACTAGGAAGGCAACACTGCCGAACAGGACGGTTTTGGAGTTATCTCGTCGAGGTCTTTCCTTAGACGTCTTGTTTGGCCTGCGCACCCTCCTCGTTGCGGAGTAAGAAAGCTTTGAAAAACGCTAACACCCCTGTGCGGAGACCCGCATCCTTACGGTATTGCGAGCAATCACAGTAGTGACACGCGTGTGAGGCACTGCACCGGGAAGACCAGACTCATGCGGGCGTGAGGAACGGAAGCATATGAAGGAGACTTCGAAAAAGGAAGCTTCCCAGCCGTTCGCGACCCCCGCCGCACTGCGTCCGCTTTTCCATTTTTTTGCAAAAAACAGCGGGAGCTGCAGCATCCGTCTTCACCTGTTCCAGCCGCTGGGCGAAGGACGCGCTGGCCAGGTGCAGGGTTTCCAGAGCTTGGAGGCGGTCCACCAGGGCGGGGAGGCCGGCGGCTATCCCTTGCCAGTTCTCGAGGGTGGCGAACGCCTCTTCCACCTGCAAAAAAAAAAAATACAAAGCGACCACCCCCACATGACGTTTCGGATATCAGGCCCATGTTTATGGTTTCCAAATCTTTATCTTCCTTTCTTTGGACAA